CTTTCTGACTGTCTAATATTCCCATTTCTACTCTGAATCTTTACATCTTCCCCAATGTATATTGTCTGCAGAGGCTCATAAGACTATTTTTTTCAGGGTGCCTTTCGTTAATCCTGTTTAGACATTTACTTTTCTTGCTTCATAACTTCCTCTGTCTCTAGACTATTTTCAGTCATCTAGATAGTGGTATCACGTGATAGTTTGTATGTTGGTAGGATGTAGTGCTATTTGACAGCAAATAATTAGGAAATATTGCTTTGATGGAAACTGTTAGTAAGAATCATATTGAGGGGCTGGCCCCGTGGCCGAGTGGTTAAGTTCGCATGCTCCGCTGCAGGCGGCCCAGTGTTCGAATCCTGGGCGCGGACATGGCACTGCTCATCAGACCACGCTGAGGCAGCGTCCCACATGCCACAACTAGAAGAACCCACAACGAAGAATACACAACTATGTACCGGGGGGCTTTGGGGAGAAAAAGGAAAAAATAAAATCTTAAAAAAAAAAAAAAAAAAAAAAAAGATTGGCAACTGAGCTAACAACTGTTGCCAATCTTCTAAAAAAAAAAAAAAAAAAAGAATCATATTGAAATGGACAAATTAGCTGTGTATATTGGTGTCTAGCGATACACGATTGCTAATGGGTATGTGAATGTGTAATTTTAGGTTGTAGTAGGTGCCTCCATGATATCTACCTCTGTAGTCCAGTCACCCCTAAATTCTTTTAGTGTCTTATTATTATCTGTTGTTTTAATATCTTAATTTGTATAATATTATAACATGCTCCGAAGCACAGATTTCTTAGTTAAAGAATCTAAAATTTTACCTACTACTTGCTCGTCTCTGAAAATAAAGAGGTTTGAGCTGATAAAAGGCACTAATGCTCTCCATTCTGAAACTATATAGGGAATTAGGCAGCTGCTGTCCTTGGTGATGAAATTATTTCATGTGAATTCATAAAGAAAACAACTAGTTAAAAAAGCAGGATAATCTTGAGTATACTGTTTGCGGCTACTGTTGGTATCTTCATAGATCTATTTGAACTAGAAAAATACAGACTCCAGTATCTTAATGTCTTGAGTTCCTGGCTGCCAGGCAAAGGAAATGTTTAACTATTTTAATCATGTTTCTGTATCTCAGAAAGAAAGCCCTTATGAGAGGAAATGACAACGTCCTCCTACCACAAAGTTATCTCTTATCAGTTATAGTCTCAGTCGATAATGATTTGTCAAACTTGGACATGTGTAAAATGCAAGGGCTGTGTTATTTACTTTGGAAAGGAAAAATTAGATGAAGCTGATAAAGACGGAGTCATGGCTTTTGTTAGAAGACAGAAACCATTACAGACAGTCATTGTTAGCTTAGGAAAGTGTCCTTGGACCCCTCCCTCTGCCCCAGCTGAAACCTAAACCTGCTTGAATCATTTGCAACTTGAGGGGAGGAGGGGGCAAAAGAGAGGAAGAAGAAGGAATACAACTTTGACAGAGATTTAGCATTTTAAATGGGAAGCAAAATGTGGACCTTAAAGCAGACCTATTTATGTGAGTCAGGAAAAACTGCCTTTTGTTCTTTTCTCCACCCCCATTTATTTAGAGTTTTGAAAGTTCATTTCTCATCCTTCCAAACGTGTAGCATTCCTTCACGTACGTTGTGTTGCTCTCCTCCTTTCGCCTTTCCCTAGATGTAAGTGATTCTTTTTCATTAGTGGAAGCAGAGAAAACATATCTAGCTCAAAGCAACATGAGTCAGTGCATGCTTTACGTGCCTTTCTCCTCACAGCACTCTTCTTGGTTCCTCACAGTGTGCCTCACAGAAGGGGGCATGGAGGAAAAAGGATTTCTCAATAGTAGACTCTTTTGGGGTGGAGGTAAAGTTTGTGAGTTGAAGCCCCATTTTGCTCCTTCTTTTCTTGACTAGGTTTCTGTGTACTGCTTTCAGAGCAGGCAGCCGTGTGCTTAGGAGGACTTAACTGGATTGTGCTTTTAGAGGCTAAGAAAAAGCAAAGCCAATACTTCCAGATCAGGGCACTTTAAACAGTTTGAAGCTGAGTATGATGATGTCAAGATAGCCTTACAGAGAATAGGTTTGCTTGTAAATATTTGGTGGAGATGACAGGAAAGGCCTTTATCTCCTCTCTAAATTTATCTATTTTTTTTTCTGCTTTTTCTCCCCCAAGTCCCCCCAGTACATGGTTGTATATTTTAGTTGTGGCATGTGGGACACCGCCTCAGCGTGGCCTGACTAGCTGGGCCATGTCTGCGCCCAGGATCCGCACCAGCGAAACCTTGGGCCGCCAAAGCGGGGCACACGAACTTAACCGCTCAGCCACTCCTCCTTTTTATTTGGCCCAGATGAACCAATTTTCTTAGCCCATGTAAAGACCTATTTGTTAGATTATTTGTCACAGGTTTCTAGGAAAGCTGTCCCCTAATGTAGATGCTCATTCTATGAGGATGGGGCTGCCATGTGAAGGGGCCAAGGCTCTATCTGAGAAATGGCTAGAAGCAGTTTTCTTTTGAATGAAGCTATGGCTCTGAGTCAAAGCAAAACAAAATAAATAAGCTGCATGAAGAAGAACATGACAACAAAGTTGTGATAGAATTTTTTATTCAAAATTAGGTAAGAAAATTTCCCTAAAGTTTTTGTAAATGTATATATAATAAATGACTTTATAATCACTAATTCTAAGTAAAAGAAAAGAGTTCCATTTCCTATGCAGGTCAAGTTTTGCTTTACATCTTTCTTGTCTTTTTTCCCTATGCATGTGTAATTTTTATGTAGTTTAAATACTGTTATAAATAGAATTTTATGAAATTTTTCTATTTTTCTTCTTTTGAGATTGTGTTTTGTTAGCCATAGATTTTGTTAGTAGACTCTTTTTCTGGAAAGATAAAATAAATTTCTTTCAAATCTCTACTTTGCAATAAAAGGGGGAGACTGTAAAGATGCTTTAATGTTGTAGTCACTTCAAATAAGACTGCCTAAATATGATTACCTGCTGCCTCTTTTTGTGTTATTAAGATGAAAATGAGTGTCCATTTGTACTGTTAAAGTTACAATTTTTATGTGCTTTTTTGGGGGGGATGAGGAAGATTGGCCCTGAGCTAACATCTGTTGCCAATCTTCTTTCTTTTTTTCTTGAGGAAGACTGTTGCTGAGCTCACATTTGTGCCAATCCTCCTCTACTTTATATGGGATGCCACCACAAGGTGGCTTGAGGAGCTGTGCCAGGTCCACACTTCGGATCTGAACTGGTGAACCCTGGGCCACAAAAGCAGAGCACGTGAACCTAACCACTGTGTACCTGGGCTGTCCCCTTTACGTGCTTTTTAATCTTTCTACTACATGGTACCCATCTGTCCATAAATTATCTTTCTCAGTAATTTTGCAGTGCTTGCTAACTTTTCTAAAGGCTTTTTTTTTTTTTTAAAGTAAAGCTATGCTTGGGCCATCAGGTAGGTTCTTGAGCACCTTACTATCAATTGTTGGATTCAGGTAAAATTTTGTTTTGAGTGCTTACAGGTATATAGCACTACAGAGTTCTTAAACATAGAGATTTGATCTCTGCCCTCATGGATGCAAAGCAAATGAACAGACTAGTCAATAAATTTGAACCAATAAATATAGAGATGTAATGGTTTTGGAGGTGAAAGAAAATAGATGTTGGACTGTTGAATTGTGGAATGAGTAGATTTCATTAGCAAAAGCTTGTTGGTGAAGAAGCTATGCCCCAAAAGAAGAAACGAGGCTTACTTTATGAAGTAAGGGAAACTGACCTTGTAATCGTGAATCAGCCCAAGCTAATTTAGGTATGCCTGCTGCTTATATTCTAATGAATCATGCAGTTACCTGTGTTACAGCAAAAACTTCATCTAGGACTTTTTTTTTTTAAAGATTTAATTATTTTCCTTTTACTCCCAAAGCCCCCCCGTACATAGTTGTGTATTTTTTAGTTGTGGGTCCTTCTAGTTGTGGCATGTAGGACGCCGCCTCAGCACGGCTTGATGAGTGGTACCATGTCTGTGCCCAGGATTTGAACTGGTGAAACCCTGGGCCACCGAAGCAGAGCCTGCGAACTTAACCACTTGGCTACAGGGCTGGCCCCATCATCTAGGTCTTTATTTTGATTATTTCTTTATGTAATTTTGTCTTTTGTTTTTTGCTTTATTTTGTTTTGTTCAATATTTACTTCCAGTTTCTCTTTTTGTTGTTAAATTCGTATATGTCAACTGATAATTTCCCTTTTCAGTTGAGAAAATGGAGGCCAAATTAAGTTGTGACTTAGGTCAGGTCACGTAACAAGTCAGTTTTAACACTGTGACTACACTCCAGTTCTTACCACATGTTTTTTGTTTTACTTTCTCTTTTGATGTCTAGGTTTAATTTGTATGCACTGTTCATATTATAATTTGCTGGTGTTACTTCTAGATTTGGCTTTTCCATTCATTATCTTATTTTTTACATGATCTCCCTTTTTTCTTCCTAGCATATTTCTGTATTTTGATTGCATGCTGACTTAAATATTCATTCATTCTTATGCCCTTCAGGAATTGACTGGCAGGTCATTTAATTTATCCTATGTGGCAAGTTTTGTTTTTGACCACTGAAGTGACTTTTTTATGTGGACTATCATGTATCTAAGAAGACAAGGTCAAGTTATCAAAGTCACATTCCCACCTTCTTCTTTTCCCTTTTGGAGGCCTATGGCCCAAAATGTATTTTTAGAAGCAGGTGCAGGACCAGTGACACCTGTTACTCCTCTCTCCTATCCATCCTTCTGTTCTGCGTCCCAGCCTTGGTGTTATCTTCAAAGTTATTAATCCCTTGGCTAAAATATCAAAACTAGGTTTCTGGAAGTGTGGTTTCTTTGTTTGTTTTGTGTTTCTCTCTTAAAAGCTATAGCTGGCCTTTTTTTGTTGTTTTTACACTGGGGTAGTAAAAATGAATGCAGTTGCTCTTAATAGCTTTGTTTGAATAATATGTGACAATCTGGTTGTTTTGCAGGTACCTGGGGCCCAAGATTTGGTGGATTTCTCTCCTGTTTATCGATGTCTACACATATATTCTGTCCTGGTGAGTCTTTATCTGGCTCTGCCTAATAAAGATGTATATTAGATTTAAAACTCTACATTCTCATTTTTAATAGTTTTTAAAAAATTATTATTAAGAGTAAGGAAAGAGAAACTATTTCAATATTAATTATAAAAAATCCTTTTTAAATCTTTTGTTTATGTTTGCCATGCAATATGCTATAGCTAGTAATGTTAATTTCAAACACATTACTGTATTATACCTCAAAATAGTCACATACACATTGATATCTGTTCTTAATTTAATAATGTAGTTATTTAAAGAAAAATATCGTATCTTTTACATATTAAAATAATATTTGTAAAAATTGTTTACTTTAGCTTCCTAATGACAGTTATTCCTTTTGTCATGTAAAATGTGGAAAGAGCAACCTTTCTGGGGGGAAATTATTATTATAACTGTTAATGGTATTCTAAGAAATGACCCTTTCTCCATCTTGCATATAGTACACCTATATGCAGACACACAGATACACACAAAGTCAATCAAGAAATTAAACTATGAAGCAAAGTATCATCAGAGACAAATTGATGAGGGTTGATATCTTGTAGAGCGAACTTCAGTGAAGCTTCTATCGGGTTGTTTTTAATACGTTTCAGTGTGGTCTTGTTATCCGTTTTCTTTCTTCGTATATTTAACATAGTGTCATTTAGTTGTTCCTCCAGATGTTAGGGACACTGGTCTGTGGACTTCATGGCCTGAAGTACTTTGTGGTGATGTCCATTAGTTTGAGAAAAGACCTGGTAGCTTCCTCACCTCACCTCTCCTTCCTCCTCCCACTTCTCCTTGCTCTCTAGTTCCTTCTTCCCCATTCCACTCCTTCTCTCCATCTATCTTTGTTTGTTATATAAAGATGAAGCAGGTTATAGGTTGAGTTGTATCAAGGCATTTAAAATAAGTAGGCAACTTTTTTTCAATCTCATGTACAGGGAATTAAATAAATCATATACATCTTAGTTTGTTATACACTATTATCATCATTTTATACAAGGCCCCCTCTTGTATCTTCTTTTATCATGTTTTTCCATTCATCTGCTATTCTCAAGCCCACTTCTCTCACATCTCCAAGTATACTAACTCTAATATGTTTAATGTGTGATCATGGTCGTGTTTGTGTCCTTGAAAAATATATAGTAATTTTGTATATGTGAGTGTTTTAAATTTACTCAAATGTTGTTGTCTTATGGATCTAGTTTTACTTCTTATGTTTTTTATTCAACATTGTTTTTAATATCTATCCTTGTGATAGTCTGTATATCTAGCTCATTGCCTCCCACTTCATGATAATTAACTGATGGTTTGTAGTTTTCTGTGTTATAAGATCTGCTACTTTAATGATCAGCACTTAAATTGCCTCTAACATTCTGCTGTAACAAATAGTACCCCCTTGTGGACTTGTAGGTAAGTTTTTATGATTTCTCTACCTAGAAGTGGAGTTGTTGAGTCAGAAGATATATGTATAATACCTAATATTACTAATTTCTAATTTCTGCTAACCTAATGTTGAATGAATTGGATATTGAATGATATCTTTTAATTTGCATTTCTCTGATTACTGGTAACGTTGGACTTCTCCTTGTAGACTTACTAATCGTTTAAGATTTTTCTTCTCTAAACTGTCCTTTTTAACTTTTGCTCAACTTTGTATTGGATTTCTTGTTTTGGTTTTTTCTCTTTGCTGGAAAGAGAAATTTCAGAAATTCCTTGTATATTGTAGATACTGACGGTTTAGGATATTGCAAATTTCTTTTTTCCAGTTTGCCACCATACTCTAAACTATGTCTAGGTTATTTGTCATGAAATAGAAACCCTCGATTCTGATGAATTAAGTCCATCAATTTTAATCTTATAGTTTGTGTTTTTTCAGTCTTGTTTAAAAAAATCCCTCTCTATTCCAAGTTCACAGAGCATTCCCTTTATATTATCTTTAATATTTTATCATTCACGTGTTGATCTTGATCCATCTTGGGTTCACCATTGTATATAGTGTGAAGTAGGGATCCAATTTAATTTTTTCCTGTGTGATGAATTCAGTTTTACCAATCCCATCTACTACATGATCTGTACATTGCTCAGGGATTCCTGGTAGTAGCCGTGGCATACACTAAATATTCACATTTACATGAATCTGTTTCTTGGCTCTATAGTTTGTTATATTTGGTGTTGTAATGTATCTGCATATGTGGTGAAAGAGGTTCCTTCTCGTTTCTCCTCTTTTAAATTGGCTTCACTATTCATAGACCTTTATTTTTCCATATATACTTTAGAATCAGTTTGAGTTCATAAAAAAAATCCTTCTAGAATTTTGAATGATTTGATTGAATTTATAGATAAATTTTGAGAAGAACTGACAACTTGGTAAAGCTAAGTCATCCCATTAATGGAAGAATAAGATCTACTTTTAAATGATTTAATTGAGCTTTTTTTTTTTTTTTAGTGTAAAGAGTCTTAGGCATTCTTTGTTAGGTTAATAGCAAAATGCTTATAGTTTTTGTTGCTATTTCTTTATTTTCTAATTAGTTGTTGCTGATATTGAGGAACACTATTGATTTTTGTAAGTTAACTTTACATCTGACAACCTTGCTCACCTCTTTCATTAGTTACTATAGTTTGTTATTTGGTTTATGATAGGTTTTCTGGATAGCTGATCATAATGTCTGCAGGTAATTATTTTTGCTTCCTTTCTTCCTATCTATCTATCTCATTGTTCTTTTTTCTTGTCTTACTGTATTGACCAGGATCATCATTACTATATTTTTCAGTAAGATGATAGTGGGCATCCTTGTCTGATTTCTAATCTCAAAGAAAATGTATCTAAAATTTCTCCATTAACTGATGTTTGTAATAGATTTTTGGTAAATATTCTTTAGTTATTCCTAGGCTCCTGAGAATTTTTTATAAAAACATAAGTGTTGAATTTTATTGAATTTATTTTCCAAATAATATTGATATAATCCTTTGATTTTTACCCTTTAGTTCATGAACATGGTGAATTTCATTGATAGATTTCTCTGATATTAAACCATCCTTGCATTCTTTAGAGAAATCCAACCTGATGAGGATGTATTGCTGCTTTTTTTTTTTAACATACCATGGAATTTAACTATTATTTATTTATTTTTAATCTTTTTTGTATTGATATGTATAGTCATAAGTAACACAGGCCTATAATTTTTTTTTGTATCATCCTTATGTGGTTTGTAAGTCAAATGTTATTTTAGCTTTATTAAAATTATCAAACATCCTTCCCTTTTCTCTGTTTTATGAGATGATTTATATAAGATAGGGGTTACCTGTTTCTTGAAAATTGAGTTTAAATCACATATGCAGTAATATGCGTTTTTCCTTTGTCACATGCTTGTTCCTTTCTCTCTTGTAATCTTTCTTACGTGCTCCATGATTTTGTTTAGTCTCTTCAACAGTATGTATGGTTTTGGGAGTTCACAGTTGTTGTATTTAATCCAAATGTCTGTAGAAAAAGAGCCATATTCACTTATATCAAGTTTCAAGGTAACTTATGGTAAGCCTCATAATTGCAAAATCAAGTGCATTTTTCCTCTCAAATAGTGTAATGTCTATGAAAATGGGTAGTTTGTTTAGTTTAATGTTATATCGTCAGTACCAACAACAGCACTTGGCATATAGTAGGTAATCAATAAATATTAGTTGAATGAATAAATAAATAAGTGGTAGCTAAAGGACGTAGTACATTTGTTTGAACATATGCTAACTCAGACCTTGTTATTCATTAAATTAGTCAGTAAACACATTGAATTTTTCTTCTTCATGAAGTGGATTTGGAGAAGCAAGGATATAAAAATAAGTAAAGGATTTAATGCTTTTAAAACATTAGAATCTACCAGGAGAGAAGTTACAATCTTTGAATGACTATGATATGACAGTACTATATCTCATCGCTATGTGTATGCTAGTTTTTGTAAGCTGTATTAAGATTTTATGATATAGAAAATGTAACAGATTTTTTCAAGTGAGAATTCAAATAGAGATTCATAAGAATACTGAAGTAATTTATTTGCCCACTTACTAGCTGTGTGGTGTTAGGCAAGTCACCTAAACCTTAGCTCTCTCGTATATAAAGTGTGATAATAATTACTTTCTTAGTGCAGTTGTAGATATTGTATGAACTGCGCCTAGCTCAGTCCCTGGCACAGAATTGGCATTTAATAAATGGGAGTTAATATGGCAAGAGTGATGTATCTCTGATGCTGATTATTAGACACATTACTGGTATTTTAAAAAAACATATGACATAAGGTATAGACGTATAGATAGAGCTTCTAGTCTCTGCCATCAACATACAAAGTTTATCAATTATTTAAAATTTACACATTTGTATATTTAAATAAAAAAAACTGTGTAGTCCTAAACTGTGAGGACTAAACAGGAGGACCTTAAACTGCCCATTTAAAAATAAATTCTACACATTGGTATTTTGTAATATTGAAATATTTGGTGTTCACAAATTTTCTGTAACAATTTGTATGGCAGAAGCAGGCCTCTTCCCCCATTTGTAGTGTTCCCTAGCTTTGAAAAGGTACAACTAGTGGTAAGAACTCATCTCTATCTTTTCTGAAATATATGTTTATATTTTAGACACTGCTGTTACAGACCTAAAGAGACTTTAAACAAGAACTCAAATATCTCCTTTGCTAAAGGAAGGGCCAAAGCATGTATAACTTCTAAGGTTGACTCTTTTCATAGTTTCTGGGGGTTTAATTTGTCACTTCTCTGTATTTGTCTCCCCATTCTTAAATCACTAATTTGTATTACTATGTGGTGAATGATAGCTCTTCATAATATTAATGACAAAGATATTTAAAAATGGATTACTTAATATAAAGATTTATAACATAAATATTTGGTTATTTGCTAGTGTAGTTAATAGCAACATTAGGCTTTAAGGAAAGATTTGGGAATAGAGAAATGAGGAGAAAATAAACCTCTCTCCCATTCCTTTCCAT